ACGTGGGTGGTGAAGCGAATGATGTTGCAGCTTGCGTCGAATCGAATTTGGACACCGTGTCTGCAGTTTCGCCCCACCCGTGATGCAGTATTTAACGAGCTATATCAATGACAATCATAACTTTTACCTTTCATGACCTGATGACATATTTCAGCTCACATACATGAACATTTGATGTGATTTGACAAGCGCTTGCCAGCGTTGTCTGTTTAGTTGCTACAACATACTAAATTATTGAGAATACCGGTGAGGAACAATGCCCGACCCGCTTGACCTGATTTAAAATGTCAAAGATTACACCCACTGATTGTTCACGAACAATGCATGTTACCCACTGATCGTTCACTAACAATGTATGTTTCTGTTTGCCAAGTGCAGCACAATTCTGTTTCCCCCAGCACACTTAGTTGTGCAGTCAGAACCGAAGACCACACTCACCAATCTTATTCCGCTGACTTTGTTTGACCTAGAAAATGCCACCTGCGCTGATATTTCATCCCACTAATCTGCCACAGCTTGGAGTGAGCTATCCAATGCGGCCCTGGCTCCAGCCTGCTCACCTGTCGAGACAGCACGAAAGGCCTGCAAGAGCCCCTCATCTAATGATGGTGGGAAAGCACCAGCCGAGCCAGAGCTAACAACGCCCCCGCCCTGCCAGAGCTAAAAAACGCCTCCGCGCAGCCAGAGTCAAAAGACTTCCCCGCTTAACCCGAGTTAAAAGACGTCCCAAAGACGGGGACAAACCTGCTATGTTGAAGCAGAGCTTGATAATATGGTTAATTTAATAAAGGTGCAATAGCTGGAAATAGTCGAAATGGTGCGTGTCATAATCCAATACAGCCACCAGACATGACGAATATGGTAACATGATCGGATTGTCATAGTGCGGAAGTGCAAGAACGAAGCACAACCTGCTGGTGTGTCCACGTGATTTGTCCTGGACGACGACAAACAAACCAATCTCTCTCCCACGAGAAAAAAATATGATCGCAGTTCACAAGAAACACAACTAAATGCACTTAATCTCGAGTGCCAATGTCATTCCTCGACACTATGTCTCAAGTCACAGGGTTTGACACCACCGCAATTTTTCCAGATGGCACAGACCTGACGCCGCCCTCTGACAGGCCTCACCGCTCACCCTAAAGTGCAGCACATCGCCTGTGAACGTTCTTTAGTTGATCGAATATTTCTCAGGGCTAGCTATATTTTGCTATGAATAACACAGCTGTTATCAAAATATTGTGATGAGATGTTGGAATGATGTATGTCGTTTATATTGCACATAAGTTATTACATTGCAATGATGATGATGCCTTGGGCTTTGGGGTGCACCGACTACATTGGTCATATGACGCCCATAACCTACATTTTATCTAACAGATGCGTGCAAAACTGAAGAGATAAGGCCATGTCCGACATACGCCATATAATTATATGTCTTCAAGATAACTAAAAATGTGTCCGTCATTTACTAAACTCGAGTCGTCTCCCATCATAGCATAGAGCGTTTGGCGCACGGATCCTGATCCAAAATTGCGCACGCGTTCTGATGCGAGGTGGGCGCAATTTATCAGGACATGTCGTACGATGTAATGATCCCCGCAGCGAGAACATCGCGGTTGGTCTTTCCCACATAACAGGTATCTGTGAGTTGTGTATGCGTGTCCTATTTTCAGGTGGTATAGCGTCACTTCATCCCGCCTCACCTTACGACAGCTGGACGCCCATGGCCCCAACCGGGGCTTTATCTCTTTCAGTTTATTCGCAGCATGCGCATCCCAATTCGCTGGCCACTGCTTCAACATGGATGCAGATACTACTGCACATAGGTCGTTAGCCGGGACTGTCACAGTAGTTATGTGAGTGGCGTGTGTCGCACGCCTTGCTGCGGCATCAGCTACTTCATTACCCGATATGCCAACGTGGCTCGGTATCCAGCAGAACACCACCTGCTTCTCCGATCGGGACAGCGTAGTGAGAAGAGTTAAAATGTTCTGAACGATGGGATGTGATGAATCCAAATCTTGCAGTGCCATAAGAGAGTCCGATAAAACTAGGTGTTGACCGTCACTGTCAACTTCTATGAAACGGAGTGTTTTGAGAATGGCTATTTGCTTGGATGTGAAGACCGATGCGTGACCAGGCAAAGCAAAAGGCCGTGTGACGGGACCATGTTCAAAAGCACATCCAACACCGGCATCCACTTTCGAACCGTCCGTGTAGGTCTTCTTGTGATCCGAGTATGACGCGATCAACTCCAAAGACGTCAGCCGAAACTCATCCGGCGACAGCCGCCTCTTCGCGAAATGGGCAAGTGAGACATCCACGGCTGGTGGGTAGAGCTTCCAAGGAGGGGTCTCAGGAATTTCCCAACGGATCACATACCGTGTGCGAATACCAAATTCCTGTAAAAGTATGAACATCCTCGCACCGAAAAGTGCGATCCGATGTCCTCTCCCAGTCAGAAGCATGCGTATTGTTCTGCGAGCGAAAACCCACTTGTATGTTGGGTGATCGGGGAACTGTGCCAATTTACAGGCGTCTCTCATGGCCAGTATCTTTGTCCTAGTGGACAAAGGGGTCTGGTGGGCCTCAACAAGGAGGCTCGCTGCCGGAGAGGTTCTGAATGCACTTGTCATGCGTAAGGCAGTATGATGTATCGTGTTCAAGGAGCGTTTTTCCGACTCACAAGCCCCGTCATAAACAAATAAGAAGCAAAATCGAGCTTGACTCTGATAAGAGGGCGATAGAGTAGCAAGAACATTTTCCTGTCCGCACCATATGACGTACATGCGATGCACTTCAAGACATTCAGGGTTTTAAAACACTTGGCTCGCAAAGCCTTTATATGGTCTTTGTTAGTTAGGCGGCGATCATATTGCACGCCCAGAAAACGGACGACGGTCTAAGATGGGATCGCTTTGCCATATAGTGGAATCGCTGCGTCCTGGCAGTGACTACGACTTTAACATTGCAATAATTGCCACGTTCCTCCAGTTGTTGCATCCTCTCTCCACGCGGAGGAGTTTGTCAAAAAGCCGGAAGTCGGAAGTCGGAAGGATGCTTTATGTGAGGCATCTTCCATCAATGCCGAACCTTTTCCGTCAGATTGACGCGTGTTGATTCCAGGTAGCATGCCAAGGCCAGGTCGATGTCTTTCTCCGGATTTAATTCTGCGCACCTGTGTGGCGAGGTCCGCTGTCGAAGGCACTACTTCGCCTATTGCCACCGACGTGCTGCTGTCGACAATTCGTGGTTGCAGTGGTGTCGTTTGGTGGTGATAGGGGAGGGGAGGGGCGGGGGGGGGGGGGGGGGGGTAGCTGGCCGCGCCGAAAGTCGTGCTGACCCGCAAACATAAACAAAACTAGCAAATAGAGCCGCCCGGGCCAAACGATCGACGCTTTTTCCTGGGTCCGTCGCGCTGCATCGAACGCTGTATTCGGCGCGGGGCTGCTGGCAAGCATAAACACATGAAACATTGAGTTCTAAAAATGGCAAGAGGGGGACAGCAGGCGGAGCACCCGGGTAGGGATAATAAGCCGGCGGAAATCCGACAGCGAGGAAAAGAGAGTTCAAATATGTGTACAGCCTCTGAGCCATATTAAAAAACCCTGCTCAAGTGAAACCTCAAGGCTAGTTACGTCTTATACTAGCGGGTATAATAGCGCAGCACAACCCTTCTTCCTTCCAGTCGCGACAGCCGTCGTCATGACAACTGCAGAGCACGCCTTTACTGGTGCGAATAAAAGAACGTTTATGAATGGCCCAGCGGCAGCAATGGCCTGTTACGGAGAATCTGACTGGTTGAAATTTGAGCCAGTGTGTCACTATGGGCCATGTTATACTCCCATTTCCAAAGTCAAAATGCGCCTCAAAAAGGGACACTTTGGTAAACGCCATAGGGAAGAGATCAAAGCCATAGTGTAACTTTCCGCTGAATTCTCGGGAAAATAGCTTCATGTTTGCATGTAGATTTGTCTAAACAGTATTTCAAGCTTCTCTAGCTTTCAGCTTTTTCAAGCTTTTCAGCTTTTATTACGCAGCCTGATTGGCACATTGGTGTGTTGCAAACATTACAGAAAAACAGGTTGGGAAAAGCAAGGCGAATGAAATGTGTTTCTTTCAAAGAATTGACATTGTGATTGGTCAAAGTGGTCAAGCGAATTACTTTCAAAGCCGGGAATCAAATGGTATTTCTCCTGCAAGAGCGGCTACTTCAACTCAACATGCTTAACTATTCAGAAGAATTTCGGGAAAAATAGTAATACTGATCAAAAAGTACGCATCTAACCTAAAAATAAGTGAAAAAGTACAAAAAAGATTGAATACTCCATGTAAATCAATAACAAATCTCTATGACTGCCTGCATGGTTCTTGAATCACGCACACTTTAACCCTTTGACCTTTCGTCTATACAATGCAAAACACTGCACAGAGATACACAGATATAGATAGATGTATCAGGGCCCTTGTGACCCAACTAAGCCCCAGGTTGGAGGTCATGTATGCCTAATGACTAGGATCTGGAGCATACAGTTACATTTCGTGACAAGTCACCAACATGTTGCCATCGCCTCTAAGATGCCTGCTTTGAAGCGCGGTCTGGATCTTTGGGGGCGCTTCCGTCAGCTGGGGATGTGGTGTTGACACGGAGCCGCTTGGTAACCCTTTGCGTGTCTAACACTGCCAGCTGACGATTAAATAAACCACGGCACATGACCGAGTTAATGGTCAGCAGATCAGCCACGCCGCAGCGAGGCAGAACATCGGTGTAACGGAGGTGCCCCGCGCGCTTCTGAATACAAAAAGGCGCGCCGGTGGGCTCAACCTCAGTTGGAGGCGAGCCGCTCTAAACTGTCCACTAGCGCCGCGAGGTGAGGTGCCCTGTTCCGAACAGATCACAGACACCCACGCCAGACAGTCCTGCCCGGCCTGCCTCACCCCTCTCCAGCCCCGGCCCGCCTGGTCGCGGCGCGTCGGTCGCGCTGTGGGCTGACCTGTCGTGGTGCGTCCGACTGCGTCCCGCCGGTGCCCGCTCAGAGTGCGCCTGGAGCCGGAGTGGCTGGGGCGGCGGCAGCGCGCCGACGTTCTCCCAGAGCGGCACGGGCCCCGGCTATTGATCCTGCGGCTCCCGGCGTCTGCCCCGCCCCCTGGCGGCCGCGCCGCAGCTCTGACAGGTGCCCGCACGGGGGGCGGGGGCGTGGGAGGCGACGGGCGCAGGCTGGCGGGGTGGAGCGGCCGGGGGAGGGGGCACGCTGGCTGGGCAGAGGAGGCGGCCAGAAAAGGGATGTAACAGAGAGAAGCCGATGGGCATTGACACCAAAGAAAGAGGAGGAGAAAAGGCAAGAAAAACATCAGTTGCTCTCACTGCATGGTGAAAGGAAAGGTCACTCAAAACGCAAGCTTTGAAAACACGTATTGATGCAGTGCAACGGACGCGCAATTTGGCAGAAGAGAGAGAGAGAGAGAGAGAGAGAGAGAGAGAGAGAGAGAGAGAGAGAGAGAGAGAGGAGAGAGAGAGAGGAGAGAGAGAGAGAGAGAGAGAGAGAGAGAGAGAGAGAGAGAGAGAGAGAGAGAGAGGAGAGAGAGGAGAGAGAGAGCGAGAGGAGAGAGAGAGAGAGAGAGAGAGAGAGAGAGAGAGAGAGAGAGGAGAGAGAGAGAGGAGAGAGAGAGGAGAGAGAGAAAAAAAAATCTGATTTTCTACTTATTGAATGAAAGAAGCGACAACGAAATACAGTTTTTAAACCAAGGTGACAATTCTAGCGTGGTCGTCATTCATTGCTTCTCTAATCTAGTTAGTCGCAATAATCCCACGCGCTCACTTGAAAACCGCGCGCAGATTTTACATCTACTACTTCCTCGCACAGGAAGGAAAACTAACAGTTGCGTTGAAAGTTAGCATGGTGTTAGCCGGGGAGCAAATATTATAAGTGGTATCCAAGCTCGTCATGCTGAAATCGTCATCTCGTCAAGTCGTCATGCTCGTCATGCTCGTCTTGTCATCAATTCAAAACATACGCTCGCACGGATCGCCATTTTCACGTCGCAAACGGGCGGGTGGGGGGGGGGGGGAGGATGCGTCCCCTTCCACTTCCCTACTATGAATGCAGATCACGAATGAAATCTTTGTTCGGAGTATTGTCCTTGTCTAGTGTGTTATCACGAACACAAAGTTTCGGTAAGTTAACTCTCAGGCGGTCATGAAGTGCTGTTGAGTTAAACAACTAAACGCGGTTAGCTTTCGGCCATGCACGCATTACAACCCATTCCTGTGATTCTAACGAAGCTCCTCAGATGATGCGTCCAGTGCTCTACCAACTGAGCTAGGCGGTAATGGCCGGTGCTATCTGTCCTTCCCAGTTACCTCAACTGGTAGAGATTTGGGCTCGCCATCAGAGGACCCTGGCTCAAATCCTAGCGATTCCAAGGCGCTAATTGGGTTGCAACGCGTGCATGACTGAAAGCAAACCATCATCTGATTCTCATTGAGACTCAAGAACACCTGACGATGACCAGAGAGCTGACTGATGAAACAAAGTTTACATACTAACATAAACACCAACACACGCAGAAATTAGACTCCGGAAAGAAAAACAAGGAATATAATTGTTCTCGATTGGCCACGATCGACTTCGCAATTGGTCATTAGTCTTGCGTTGCTAGGTTAATAGTTGGACGCATTAGGCTGCACCAAAAAAAAACATATTACCGAGAATATAATTATTTCAACTTTACGTGCTGATGCACGCGCACTATTACTACGAAGCACCATGAAACTTATACAGACGTTCCCTGTTTGACTTTGAGAACATTGGAATGTTGACTGGTGTATTTTGAGCAGGTAACATAGGGTTCCGTAAATGTAAGAACGTCGCCCGCCGAACGGCATCAGCGGATTTTCTCGGTTGCCGGCCGTCCACGTCGGCCGAGGATTTCCGCGCGGTGCTCATAAAACGGGATTGCTCAGACACCAGGAATGCTAGATATGCATTTTTGGCGTCGATGCAGCGCGCGCAATAATGTCCCAGGGATACTGAAAATCCGGAGCATTACATGACATGTCAGGGACATACTGCCAAAAAGACTTACATAAATCGGTCCCCCGGGTGAGGGCGGGAAGATCCGGGCGACGGCTGACCCAGCTTGACCTACTGTAAGTCTATCAACATACATATTTAACGACATGCGTATCAAACACTCGGACACGAGAAGGAGCGAAACTGACGTGTCATCATTATGGGCGTCACTCTGCTCTAGATGGACTTACGGTTACCGAATGATATGTATTCGGCGTTTTTATGGTCCGAATGGTCTTTGCGTTTAGCAGCATGTTAACAGGTAAGTAATGATGGCATTGCGCCCTGCGATGCAAGGGTCCCCAAAGCGTGTGTTTATGAATAGCAGATTGCTTTTACATTTTTGCATGTTTGTTAGGTGAGACTGTAATAGTGATTGACAGAAACGAGACACTGATAAAGACATATTACGCAGGAACCTCAGTTAACGCACAGAAAAACTAATACATAACATATACAAGCACTTAAGCGCACACACGAACACATGTGACTTTGAGTGACGACGCCAGCGATGCCCAGTCTCATCAATGTTTTGATTGCACGTACGGATAGCCCCGTGTTGCAGTGTTAGCGCAAGTGCTCGTCGCGCTGTGAGCAAGCATGCCAGTATGGGGACGAATTAATTTTGAACAGCGAGGGAGGTGTGCGTCGAGATTGATGCTGGAGTTTGCCAACAGGAGATGCCGTGTAGCTCGCTGGCATGCATGCGTTGCCGTAGTGACATCACAAATTAATCACGCTGTCCACTACAGTGGTAACTCCGACACAGCCAGTCTGGCGGCGTCTATGACGTCAAAAATCATTTCATGACGTCATGAAGCGATGCTGAATTGAACAGCGTATTTGGGAAAGAGTGAAATTTCTTTTTAGTCCGGTCTTTCCACTTATTAGCATAATTACGAGCTTTTTCATCACATCTGATGGTCGCATCAATATCTTCAAATGTGTAACGGCCCCTTCAAGTGTTGGGAGGACGTAATTGTGCCACATTTTGGTCATGTGGCAAAACATCGCGATGCATATACTATGCTAACACCAGTAAGGACATGGATGAAGTGTAGTAGGACAACGTAAAAACTAAAAAAGACCGTTGAAATCACCCATTTGCGCTTACTAGAGTCGCCTCTACCAAAATGGGGCTGCTAGGCTGGCTGAGGCTATTAGTTGAATCGAGCCCATATTCCTTACTGGGCGCCAAAATCTCCAAACTGTTGATCAAAGCTTGGGGAGTTCCATTCTCAATGTTCTATCGAGACGTCATTTCAAGGTGCCATCGAAAATGGCCTTGTCAGGCATTTCTAAAGCACCAAGGGAGAGGAGTTGAACTGAGCATATATATGGGACGATACAAGTGCCAATATATGCCACACAACAACCGCTTGAAGTGGCTACTTACGTAAACCAAAGTGGTGGTGTTGAGCTATCTCCCTATCACTGACAAGCACATGAGTTTTTCTGCACGCTAACACTCAATACGCCTTGACCACGATTACCAAGGTCGCCGGAAAACGAGTATATGAAGAGCGGTTAGAAACAGCACCGTTCCAGCGACCAATCAGCGCCTCAGATCGCGCGGCCGCCCCTCCCCACCCTCTCGCTCGCGTCGCCACAAATGGCACCGCTCCGTCCCGCCCTTGACATTCGGTCCGCGGGTGGTCCTCAGCCGACCCCAGGGGGCGACGGGGCGCGGTGCCGAAAATGTCAAGGTGACCCCCGTGGTGACCCGATGGCGTCGGTCGGGCGCGGGCGGCGGCGTCGACGGTGCACCCGCCGGGCTGCGTGGGCCGCTGGCATGAGCGC